GGCCAAAGTCATATGCGGCCACTCAAACTTGTCCTGATTATTCACTTAGACACCTCAACTAGACGTACTACCTATTGAACACCTTAACCACCCCAGATTTGAACCGTAAAACCATTTTTAATCACTTTTCATTAATTATGTGGCGCGTGTAGTTAACCGCCCCGCGTGTAGTTAACCGCCCCACGTGTATCTGACGTGTATTGAATGACCATTTAAAAATTCCCACGTGTATCCCACGTGTATTTGTTAATGCCTAAATTTGGAAAAATTCCCAAATCGTTAACTTTCACAGAACAGATCTCTTTCTCTCTCTCTCTCTAACTTCACACTTTCTTTTGATTTCAAGCTCTCCATCTCGCGATCCATTCCAGTTCCTTGTTTGAATTTTGTTTGATTCCTATTCTTCGTGTTACGATCTATCCTCCTGTAAGTTTAATTTTTGTTTCTTTACATGCTTTCTTATATGAATTTCATAAAGCCGTGGTTTTGTAAAAATATAGGGTTTTGCGAATATTCTGTCTATTCTTTACTATTACCCAAAAGTATGATTTAAAGCTTTGTCTTTTAGTTGTTTGTATGAGTATATTCCGTTAAATCTAGGGTTTGCTTGATATTTTGTAGAGGGCTGCTAACAATTGACCATGGAGGAAATCATATTTACGAAGATTTACCATGGTGGAATCTTGTCTGAGTTATCGGTTGCCCCTACTTATGTTTGAAACTGTGTGTCTGCACTAAGGTATATCATCAAGGACCACTTTTCCATTTTGGAACTATTGTATTATACTAAAGAATTAGGGTATGAAACTGTTGGAGGCTTTTATGTGAAAGACTTATCGGAAAAAAAATGGATCCTAATTACAACTGACCAACATTTACTACACCTTATTAAAGACTTAAAACATGAGGACACTTTTAAAGTATATGTCTGTCATTTATTAGATAAACCCTTACTTGACACTGAGGTAACTATAAGATATCTAACTAATGGTGAAGATGGTGAGACATTTAACTTAAGTGAAGAAGGTGAGGCTTGTAACCTTAGTGGTGAGGGTGGTGAGGGTGAAGCTGCTAACCTTACTGGTGAGGGTGAGCATGTTAGCCTAGGTGGAGAAAAAGTGGATGATAACCTAGGTGGAGAAGATGCATCTGATTTCTCGAGTAGTGATTCAGATTTATATATACCTTCAGAAGATGGTTCAGATATTGATGAGGAGCTAAGATCATTTAGAGAAGAAAGAAGAAACAAAAAACAGAGAAAAAAGGCTGCTGAATTTGAAGAAATACCAGTTGGAGAAGCTGGTGGTATAGATAGAGGTTTTGAGGATATTGGAAAGAACAAAACTGACAAATATGCTGGAAAATTGGGTGGAGATGAAGATTACATTGATAGCTCTAACTGTTGGAGTGATGATAGTGATGAACAACTAGATGTGGATGCTGTTAGGGGAGTAGACATACCTGCTAGAAGGAGAAGCAGAAAGGTTAGGTATGATGAAGGTAGTGAAGTGTCAATTTTTGAGCTTGGAATGGTCTTTGAAGGGGCAGATCAGTTCAGGAAAGCAGTGGCAGATTATGCTGTAGAGTATAGAAGACAGTTAAAGCTAAGACCTAATGAAAAACATAGAGTGAGGGTGAAGTGCAAAAATGTTAAGTGTAAGTGGTTGTTATGTGCTTCAATTGACAGGGACTCAGGTGATTTTATTGTAAAAAACTATAATTCTATTCACAAGTGTATTCCATTAAACAGAAATAAGTTGTGTAATTCAAAGTTTATTGCTAGAAAGTTTAAGGACAGAATTATATCTCAACCATACATAAGGATTTGGAAAATTCAAGATTTGGTTAGAAAGACATTGGGTCTTTATGTTGGTAAGACTCTTTGTTATAGGGCTAAACAGAAAATTATGAGGGAAGACATGGGTGATTGGAATCTAGAATTTGCCAGATTGTGTGACTATGCAGATGTGATCAAACAAACCAATCCTGGAAGCTCTTGTTGAGTAAAAACTGATAAGGAAACTGAACCAGGGAAGAACCTTTTTGTGTACTTTTATGTATGTTTTCATGCATTTAAGCAAGGATGGTTGGAGGGGCGTAGGAATATAATTGGATTGATGGTTGTTTTCTCAAGGGAGCTTGTAAGGGTGAATTATTAGTTGCTGTTGGAAAGAATGGGAACAATCAAATGTATCCCGTTGCCTGGGCTGTTCTGGATACAGAAACAAAACATAGTTGGAGCTGGTTCATAAGTTATTTAATTGCTGATCTAAACTTGGGAACTGGTGAAGGTTTGACTGTGATGTCAGATATGCAAAAGGTAATGTTTATACAATTTCTTCTTCTTTTAGTTTAGTTTTACTACTCCAATTACTTATTCTGTATATACTTTTTGTTAGGGACTTATTCCTGTATTGTTAGAGTTGTTACCAAATGCTGAGAAAAGAATGTGTGCTAGACATATATGGAGTAATTTTGCATGTTAACTGGAAAGGAGAAGAAAGAAGGAAACAGTTTTGGAGATGCTCAAAGGCCTCTTTTGAAGTCAAGTTTGGTGAAGAAGTTCATGCAATGTCTAAGCTAGGTAAGAAGGAAATAACAGAGGACTTATTACATTATGATCCCATAAATTGGTGTAGAGCTTTTTTTCAAACTCATTCCAAGTGTGATGTTGTAGAAAATAACATGTGTGAGACTTTCAATTCCTGGATCTTAGCTGCTAGACATAAATCAATTATTACCATGCTAGAGGATATTAGGAATAAAATGATGAATAGACACATAGACATGATCAAATTTGCTGAAACATGGATATCAGACATTGCACCTATGGCAAGGGCAATACTAGAAAGAAACAAGGAGTATTCAAAGAACTGTAATGTTCAATGGAATGGGGTGAATGGTTTTGAGATTAGTGATGGGGAATACTCATTTATTGTTGACTTGGAGAAGAAGCATTGCGACTGTAGGTTGTGGATGTTGAGAGGTATTCCTTTCCCTCATGCTATTTGTGCTTATTATTACTTGAATCAAGATCCTGATCAACATGTAGAGCACTGGTATATGAAGGAAACATTTCTCAAGGCTTACAATCATTTCATCCAACCAATATCCAATATGAGAATGTGGCCTAAAACTACAAATCCATCAATAGAGCCTCCAAAACTAAGAAAAATGCCAAGCAGACCTGCCAAGAAGAGAAGAAAGAGCAAGGATGAGCCCAAAAAATGGGGGAAAATTTCCAGAAAAGGAGTAAAGATGACATGTTCCATTTGCAAGAAAACTGGTCATAACAAAGCTGTGTGTGCAAGAATAAGTAATACTAGTCATATTCACATTTGTAAATTGCTTAAAGTTTATAATCATATGTTTTATTTGTGGTGACATAGTATGGGAGGGGGAGCAATTCTCAACCTACAAGTCAAGGAAACAGCCAACAAAGTTATTCTCAAACAAGAGTAAGATTTGCTTTACATATTCAGTTGCCTTAATTTTCATTTAGACATTTATTCATATGTACTTATTTTTTTTCAACAGGTTAGAACACG